TCCCGCCAGAAATTCTAGATACCTCTTCGCTCATTATATTTTCTTGATGCGAAAATGCAAAATCGAGAAAATGTGAATTTTTAAATTCCCCACCAGAAATTCGGAATACCTCTTCGCTTATTATATTCTCCTGATACGAAAACGCAAAACCGGTAAAATGTGAATTTTTAAATTCCCCGCCAGAAATTCGGAATACCTCATCGCTCATTATATTCTCCTGATACGAAAACACAAAACTGGGAAAAGCGAATCTTTAAATTTCCCGCCAGAAATTCGGGATACCTTTTCACTCATTATATTCTCCTGATACGAAAACGCAAAACTGGGAAAAGCGAGTCTTTAAATTTCCCGCCAGAAATTCTAGATACCTCTTCGCTTATTATATTTTCTTGATACGAAAACGCAAAATCGAGAAAATGTGAATTTTTAAATTCCCCGCCAGAAATTCGGAATACCTCTTCGCTCATTATATTCTCCTGATACGAAAACGCAAAACCGGTAAAATGTGAATCTTTAAATTCCCCGCCAGAAATTCAGGATACCTCTTCGCTCATTATATTTTCTTGATACAAAAACGAAAAATCAAGAAAATGTGAATTTTTAAATTCTCGCCAGAAACTTGAAATACCTTTTCGTTCATCATATTCTCCTAATACGAAAATGCAAAATGAGAATTTGCAAATTTTCTCATTTTGCGTTTTCCTATTAGGAGAATATAATAAGCGAAGAGGTATTCCGAATTTCTGGCGGGAAATTTAAAAATTCATATTTTCCTGATTCTATGTTTTCGTAACAGGAGAATATAATGAACGAAGAGGTAAGGAAGTGGAAGTTTTTAGGAATTGATGGAAATTTCAATGGAACAAGAATATTATGTGTAGCCGAGTATATTTATTTTTCTTTTTGCTTAAATATGCAACATAATTGTACAATATTATACAATATATTACGATAGAATATGAAAAAGTAATAATGATAGTTATATATATATATATAGAGTACATAATGATATATATATATATATATGATATTAATATAAAATTAAAGTTAATATATCCTTAATATAATACAATATAAGGTATGCACTATATACAATATAATTGAAATATATGTACGGGTTTTTAGGAAGCTTTTGCGGGCATTACTTGATGTTTACATCAATCATGGATGTAAGAAATAAGCATTAATTAGAAATATATCAAATCATTATATTCCTAAATAATTCATTACTCTCTACGTCTCTACGTGCGTTCTATTTGGATATGCACATAAGAGCTTTAAGTAATGTCTATAAAAGCTCCAATATACACACAATTATTACATTATACTGCATTTGCATTATATTATTTATTATATTCTCGTTTATGAAATAAAAGGAAATATGGAAATGGTCGATATTTACTCCATGAAGTCGTAGGAGCCCTTTGCGGCGGTCGCGGGTTCGAATCCTGCTGGCGCACGCAGTCCATTTCGCGGCAAATGTTGGCGAAGTGTTCGGTGCGAGAGGCGCCGCGATAAATACTCATTGACGCAGCAAGATATAAAATCCCGGCGTCCGGTGGCGGGGCGCAACGTGACGTCGCGCGCAACGCCGACGTCAAGGACGGAGAAAGGATTAAAGCGCGGCTCCACACGTGAAATACGCTTGCTATCTTGTTACAACGTCAATCAAAGCGCACGGCAATAAATCATCAGCGTATCGTGGCCGAGCGGATCAAACGCCGAAAACTCCACGCCGACGTTTATATGGCGCGCAGATAGGCGTCACAATATTATCTCGTGGCGTGGATGCGATAAATTTCCGTTACGCCGCCCCGGCGCGCGCGCGCCTACTCTCGTCGGAGATGTTCATCGCGCGAGATGTCGGGAATCCAATCGCACTCGCGCCATCGGGGGGAGAAGACGCGTAATAAAAGGAGCAGGCGAGCCGACTGGCCGCTCCGGACAGCTTGGCCGACCTTCGCTGTGAGAAGTTCGCTAAAATCAAGCGGATATCGTTTGAATAGAGTGTACTCTCTGCTGCTATTCGAGCCTTAAATTCACCATTCTTTCGCCATCGTCGTCGTCGCTATCGCCATCGCCATCGTCGTCGTTGTCGTCGTCGTCGTCGTCGTCGTCGTCGTCGTCGTCGTCGTCGTCGTCGTCGTTTCTGGCTTCCGTCTGGTACGTCGCGCGCGCGCGCGCGAGCTCTTATTAAAGGTGGCGATTTATCGCTAGTAATAACGGTGCGGTCTGGTGCTGCTTGGCGGCGAATGTCTCCCGAAGGTTCCCGGGAAGAGAGCGAGAGAGCTCGTAGCCGCCGTGCAAGGGTGGCAAGAGGTCGAGGAGGGCAGAAGCTGGAAAGTAAGGGTTTATTCGTAGCAACCCCGTCCGAGGGGGTGTGCGCCGGCGACGTGTTATCAGCGTGTGCGTTGAACGTGCGTGCGAGTGTGTGTATGCCCGCTTGCTCACTCGCTCTCTCTCTCTCTCTCTCTCTCTCTCTCTCTCTCTCTCGCCGGGGTAGATTAACAATTCCTGACATTTTAGTGGCGCTCCGGATGCGTTAACGCCACTTCAAGTACCGGCGCGCTCGACTGTAACGAGCTCCAGGATTGATTAACCGCCCCTGTCGGGCGACCCGCGACTACGGGCTACGTGCTTCTAAGCAAACGAGACGACGGCCCGACGAAAGATCCTCGGAACTTATAATTACGGCTTGATTAATTGCCGTTTTGACAGATAACTCGGAAACGCTGGGGATTTTTCAGCGGCGCCGGCCTCTCTTTCTGGCCTCCGCTTCGTGTGGGCGCCGATTAATCTTCTCTCGGGGATATATATATATATGTATGTATATATATATATATATTTATATTGGACTATATATATTTATTAATTGACATCGAATCCCCGGGTTATATCGGCGCACACGAGCTCCGCTGCTAGCTGCGAGTTGAAATACGGCGCGCGCGATTGCGTACTCAGCTTTGCGAGACGAGCTTTGAGAACGCGTTTGTTCCTGATAAAAAATTATGGGCGCCTCATAAAAAAATACTCCTGATAAAAAAATACGGCCGATTGACCAATACATAATTACCGTTCTTGTATATTCTTATCTATATGTATATACTTCTCTCGACCGATAGCCGATAGGTTGCTGATAATCTTGCGACACGAGTCGAAGTGGCAGCACGCCGAAAATAGAACACCGCATCTGCAAGCGAGGGATCAGAAAACAAAAAAAAAACGCAAGGACTTTTACCTTTTGGTAAATGGCCGATATCTCTTCTGTATCGTTGCTTCAGCCCCCGTTGTGATTGGTTAATTGCGCAGGCCTGTCAACAGCGCAGGCTGCCAATCGCGGCGACTTGACGCGCTGCTTAGCTCGCGTTTGAATCGTCTCGCAACAAAGCGTAACGCGACTCTTGGTCGCTTCGAGCGCGTCGCGATGAATGAATCTGGTAAATTTTCGGCTGGCTCTCTCTCTCTCTCTCTCTCTCTCTCTCTCTCTCTCTCTCTCTCTCTACCCCGAGTTAATACTAGGTAACGTGAAACTAGCGCCCGCATCATGCTACCGTGTAAACCTGAAGTAACGCACGGAAACGCGGAAAACGGCCGAATCCGAGCGGCGGAATTATCCGAAACACAATTGCGACGCAATGCCGGCGCCGCGCGCGCATCGGATCGCAATGAGATACCTGCCGGCGGAGATATCAGCCGGGAATGCCGAGCGGAACGCTGCTCTCCCCGAAGGAAAATCCGAAGCGGCGCGATCCGCGCGACGCGCCCGCTGCGTGATCGAGCGCGGCAGGTGCTTTCCCACGTTGTCGGCGGTGATCGAGCGACGGATCGCTCGGACTGCGCTTGCGCTCTTGCCACACGTCGGTGGTAGGAATGGGTCACCTGTTCAAGGGGTTAAGAAGACGAACAAGCATTATTCATACCGTGAACGCTTATCCTTAAGTTATTCATCTCATGAATTAGTAAACACGACGAGGAGGAGGAGGAGAGCAGCTTCACGCGCGAGCACTTGCTCGCTCGCTCGCTCGCTCGCTCGCTCGCCCCTCGCTGGCTCGGCCCATCCCTGAAAGGAAGCTCGCTAGAATATTAAGTTCAAACGGTCCCCTTGTCTTTTACGCTCTCTCGCCTCTCTTCGCCAGGAGGCACTAATTTTTCAGGGTTAACGGGTCCGAGGCAATTGAGCTAACGACCTGATAAAACGCGTCTTATCCGACGACGCTGTGTGCGCCTTGTTCTTCCCGAGGTCTCCTCCTTTCGGATCTCTTCGCTTGTCCCCTGAATGTACCTCTCGATTCTTTTAATCCCTCTCGATACTGCTCTACACCGTATTCCGCGAGACTCGGATGAAATCTGACGTGCCGTCGAATGCGCGTACAATACGCGCGTCTCGTCCTCTTCCCTCTCTGCCTCGGCCCTTCGTTCCTTCGTATTTCCTCTCAATGAAATTTTCAAAGAACTTCCGAGGGAAAGTGAAAGAGGGTCTCGACACTCCCTCACTGAGAATCGCACATCCTCCTATCGCGGTTGTCGGTAATATTTTAAGGAAAGAGGAAATGACTTAGCGCGCGCCGAGAGTAACGGTTGCCGTTCTCGTCTTCCGTCACGGCATCGTCGAAACGAGCGCTTATAGGCTGGAAATAGATTACAAACGCAATATCTCAACTGTCGTAAATATTCCCCACTGATGGCGGCGCGAGCCTTTCGCCGTCAGCGCTGCTTCCGTCGTCGTCGTGCTTTCTTCTCCGATCCGTCGCGCGTTGACGGGCAGTTGCCACGTCGCGATCTAATTGGGATAAAAACAAATTTTCCACTAGGTGGCCGCTACCTAATTGGTCGCCCGTCATTAAGAGTCGTCTCGAGCTTCGAAATGTCACGACGTTAGACGAGCGGCGCAAGGTGACTCACACTTCGCGCATTTCTTCCCCGCGGTTTGGCGTACTTCTCTGCTTGAGCGAAGAATTTCCTCTCGCCTCCTAAACTCGTCGAAGACAATTCAACAGGCGTTGAATGAAATTACACATCGTGTCCTTTATTTCCCGGATTTTTCTATCAAAATCTGCCGCTACCGAGATTTGGCGAAATTGTCGCCCGTATAAGGCGGTTCGTACAATGGCACTTGTAATATCTCGCGCAAAACGCGTTTTAGGTAAAAAGATTCGAAACGGTTTCGAAATATATATTGCAAATATGCGTGTGTATAAACACGTGTCTAAAAGTGCGCCAAGATGGCGACACGCTAAGAAAATATCAAGAGTAAATCTTAATAGATTCGTCCAAGATGGCCGGCGTCGTTATATAAAAATATATATAAAATGCACAAAATTAACTAGGCGTACAAAGTCGCGCACATCGCGAAGGTCACAAGGCGTCTCCTGTGCATAATAACATAATGACATCGTACGCGGAGTGATAGATAAAGAATGATAAATCATCGGAGATAACAACTACCTGTTTGCGTAGCATGCGCTACGGGATTCGCGTTAGAAAAAAAGAAAGGAAAAAAGAGACGTGCATATCGTTGAAATCCTCTGATACGAACTACTCTTGGCTAAAGTAATTTCCTAGATCATGTCTTGGTTTCCTCTTGACGCGGCCCTCGTTGCTGCTCCTCAGTGTCCCAATTCTCCACGTCTGGCGCCGCGTAATTCCACTCTTGAATTTTTGCGGACCCGAAGGTCACAAATATCAAGAAGCCGAGCACTTGAGCGATGACGGTGATCCAGAAGACGTACCTCCAACGCGCCATAGTGTGCTGTGGAAACAGATACGCACGCGCACGCGCACGCACACGCACACACACACACACACATATATGTAGAATTGTTAGCAGCACAAAAATATTATCACGTTAAAAAGACAATCAGGCGAGCGCGAGAGCGTGAGAATGCCATTTTCCTACTGTGGCCAAACTCGCCTTAAAATGTATTCCGAGATTTGATACTTTTGCGGTAAATAAAGTACGAATATTTCGACGGCAGAGTGTAATAACACGACATCGAGAGTGTCATCTTAATACTGCAATAAAGTTAATTTCTCGGCTGATCGCGCGCGATTAGAATGCAGTGCCTCTTAGGGAAAATATTAGCTTAACTTTCTTATCGGCTTAAGGCCGTTCCACTGTTCGTAAAACTTGAGAAAAGCGGCGCACTCCGTGCGCGGCTTATTAAGAATTCAAGAAATTGGCGATCACGTTCTCGTTCTTAGCCGGGATACTTCTCGCCTTCGTGTTATTAACGCTGGCGAGAGGAGGGAGGGAGAGAGGGAGGCAGGGAGGGGAAGAGAGAGAGAGAGAGAGAGAGAGAGAGAGAGAGAGAGAGAAGAAAAGGGAGAAAGAAAAGGGAAGAGAGAACGTTTTCTTTTTTCTTCACTCACTCCTTCCTCCACGAGGGCGCCGACTATCGGTGGCAGGATAAAGGCCGAGATCGTGCCCGGCGTGTTTGTAATGCCCATGAGAATTCCTGCGTAATTCGGGGCCAGATCGTTCTGATTACAAAGGTGGCCGACGAATATAGCGCCGCAGACCACTATGCTGAGAGTCAGCAGGACGGTAGACGTCACGCGAGCGCAGCCAATGTACGCGATTATGATCAGGAAGATGCTAGGCGGTATAGAACCTGGTGGCAAAGGAACAAATAACATACATACACAATAACATGAATTGTGTGTATTTGTGTGTGTGTGTACAGAGTGTCTTACTCGTCAGCACACTAGACAACTCTTAAACCGAGATATCGAGATCCTACTTCTTCGAGGTTGCGAATATTTTTACGCAACATATAAGAGACAATGTCTTTCCATTTAAAAATCCGAGGCGAAGTCACCTGACATGGAATCTCAACATTTCACTTAGTTTAAAAGATCTTCATGTGTTGCTTAAAATGGAACACCCTGCATATGAAATATATACGAGACGTCATAAATGTAAAAGTACCTCCCGGGAGAAGGTGGAACGTAAATTTTTATAATATATTTATAGTGCACCGAGATAAAAGAAACACGAGCTTTTATAATATAAGATAAAGGTTGATATCTCAAGCGCAAAAGAATCGCGATGGCCAACGGCGATTGTAACGGCGGTAAGTATGTCGCATTGATTTTAGACACTCGCCGAGATGGCGGCGGGAATTGAAAGCGTAGCGCGCACGCAAAGAATTTGCAAACAATACCTCATCTTTATTTATCTGACATGTAAATCGCGTCGGCCCGGGGTTTATTCCGAATACGCTTATCATATCCGCTGCTGCTACTGCCGCGGGTATTGATCTAAAAAACCGCCTTATCTCTGTTTGAACCAGATTCGTTAACTGTAGAAAAGCGAGCAGCGCGAAAGCTCCTCTGGTTAATTGGAGGAACTAATTAAAGGGATATGAGTACGCTTACACCGATGCACCCGTCGACAAAAGTGCCGTTGTTTACGGAGTCGCTCGATGCGCAATATTTCTACGATTTGTATCCCCGAGCCGCGAGTGAGAGAGAGAGAGAGAGAGAGAGAGAGAGAGAGAGAGAGAGAGAGAGGGAGAGAGAGAGGGAGAGAGAGAGAGAGAGAGAGAGAGAGAGAGAGAGAGAGAGAGAGAGAGAGAGAGAGAGAGAGAGAGAGAGAGAGAGAGAGAGAGAGAGACATATGATAAACTCTATTTTAAACACGTACTTACGAACACCGCGATTTTACGGGCAATGGTCTGAGTCCAAATTCCCTTCTGCCGTCCCCAGTCCAACATTTTTCCCAGGAGAGGATTAGTGAAGGCATTTATGAAGTACGGCGTGCAAGTAATAATAGCATTCTGCAAAATAGATTACGAACGATTCGTGCAGGAAAGTTGAAACCTATTTCGTATGAATGTGGGTCACGCAGAGAGGAGAGAGACACACACACACAGAGAGAGAGAGAGAGAGAGAGAGAGAGAGAGAAAACACCCCGCGGGAACGAAATAATTATTTCTCGTGGAACGCACGCGCATGAAATATAATTTTACTCGTTACACTTTTCTCCTCGACGTCAATTAATATATGCAACTTTTATCGAAGTGCGCGCGCGTAAACTCGCGTCTGCGAAACGGGACGGGTATCGACGAGACGATCGCCCACGCGTGCGTCTTGTCGTCATCATCATCATCATCGTCGCTTACCGACTTCACGTCGAACCGCAATATCTTGTTCATGTAGAGCGGCATTTGAGTGAGCAGGAAGTACCAGCAGAAGTTGCCCAAGGTGTTGGTGGCGATCAGAGCCCAGAACGGCACCGACGTGAAGATGCTTTTCCAAGGAATCTTCATCTTCCTGGTGCCGGGCGAGCGGTGGCCGTACGAGTTGACGATGAGCGACCTCTCCTCCTCCGTGATGTACTTTTGCTCCTCCGGCGAGTCCTCGAAAAATATATAGAAGACAACGCACCAAATCAACGGCAGTATCCCGTGAATGTAGAAGATCGCCTCCCAGCCCATGAAATTCAATATCATGCCCGAGGTGAGAATGGATATCACCGTGCCGAGCGACGTGCCGGCGTATATGATGCCGACCCACATGCTCTTCTCCTCGTAGATGACCCATTTCCCCACGAGGACGTTCACTATCGGTAGATTCGCCGCGCTCACCACGCCGGTCAAAAATCTCACGGTGTAGAGCGCGCTCAGCGCGTTCGCAGCGACCGGCACCAAGATCGTTAGCAGCGCGTTTCCCAACACGCAGAACAGCAACACCGTCTTCGTGTGGAATCTGCACGAGAAGAAAACTCAGAATTTGCCGAGAGGCACATTTTCCTGCGGGATAATATCCGCGGGTGAATCAATTGTCACGTTGAAACAGAAATATAATATAACTGTGACACACGACTGTAATAATATTATTAATAATGTTATAATAAAATAAATAATAGTAATAAAAATAATTATTATAAATAACTGGATCGAGATTGTTTATTATCGATGTTGCGGAAGGCCTCGGTTATCTATTTCGACTCAATTAGACGTCCCGCCGCGAGGCGGGAGAAGAAAAATACTATCTCAGATGAGCCGCGAGATATCTCCGACGAAGAAAGCGCATAAACAGAAATTAATCGCACTCACCGATCCGCGCAGTATCCCGATGGAAACATCCCAACGAGATATCCAGCGAAGTACATACTAACGACGAGACCTTGCTCCTTCGACGACCAGTCGAACGGGCCGTCGATGTCGGTGACTTCGCTCGTGTCGGGCTCGAACTCCGGACATTCGTCCGACCAATCTGGCACGCCGGGCTTCCTCTTCACCATGCCGATGATGGCGGTCGCGAGGTTCACCTTCAGCCCGTAGATGATCGCGTTCGCGATGCATAGCATTATGGCGAACAGAAAACGCACGTAGCCCGCTGAAAGCGCGCGCGATCGCAAAAGAGAGAGAAAAAAGTTAAAGATCAGAATCAGGAGCGAAGGGTGCATGGCGTTCGGTTAGGTCGCGCGATTTTCGGGTCTGGAATGCCGCTCGTACTTGCGCCAGCGCGCTGCAAATTTTCCTTCGCGTAAAAGTTACGAGGGGAATATTATCGTTGGCGAGGCACCGCGCTCGCTTCTACGGCTCGCGCATTTTAAAATGATCTACGTGTTTATATTCGCGAGTTGCTGGCCTATAGATCAATGCATTAGCGATACCGCGCGCGCGCGCACGTTAAACTGTGTGTGCAGATAATATAAATTAGTAACGCGCTGGAAATGGATACACGTACCGTTATCTCAATAATTACTCGGAAAACCATGATAACGTACACATGAAATAACATGTATTAAAAACAGAGCATAGTTTATCCGTTTAATCCGCATTAACCTAACGAATTGCAATTTGTTTATGTTTTCGTGCGCGAAATTGAAGAAGGGAAAAAAAAATAGTGACATTTAGTGCGCTCGCCGCGCGCGGGCACACGCAAAATACATAAGTCTACAGCTCGAAACGCGCGCGCTCGCACGCACGGTGACATGGTCCACACTGAAATACACTGAAATACAAGTCGCGCTGACAAAAATAATTTTGGACGAATTGCTAAACAGCCAATTACGCGGCAGCAAATTACGTCGTAATTTTTGCGTCACGCACGTGCTCTTCACACGTCACCGATGCGACAGTGATAAGCGAACGATTGATAATTGGGCGGTGACAACACGAGAGAGACCAAAATATAAACTCCTCTCGCGTCGCGTTCACAATCGCCGAGGCGTTTCGCGAGTTGAACGGCAACGCGCTCGAGCAGCCGCGCGGAGCGTCCGCAGGACGAGAGAGAGAGAGAGAGAGAGAGAGAGAGAGAGAGAGAGAGAGAGAGAGAGAGAGGGAGGGAGAGAGGGAGAGAGGGAGAGAGAGAGAGAGAGAGAGAGACGAGGATGCGTTCCTTACCCATTGCTCCTGAGGATATTCAATGCGATCTCGATGCTAATGCGACTCGATGACGCCGATGACTGTATCACATCTCGAAACGCCGTCGCCGACGTCACTTGTCTCCGCGCGATCGATACGATCTTCGACTGCTTCTCACGCTCGATTTCACCCTCGCCGACACATCCAACGGGCGGAGAGCCCGACTACCGAATTGATGTTGACGAAGGGAAACGGCGTGTATGCACGACAACACAGAGATTCCTCCTCTTCTTGGCGTAGTATCTTGGCGCGGATGACGCGTGCCGGCGCGCAGCGGTCGTGCCGCTATCGACGCGAGATTACAGAATGCGGTGCGAGCGGGGAAGAGAAGAGCGTCGTGTTCGCTCGTTCATCCAACGTACATTTTGCTGCCTCGCTGGCCGAAGACCGCTGAATGAATATGCTGCGCTCGTCGTCGCCGGCGATAACAGGCGTTACACGCTTTGTCCGTCACGAAGTGACGATATCGTCGCACGAGCGCGAACGCCTAGCGCCAACAGCGAGCTATTATTTCGCGGCGCCGCGCGTCGCGGCGGGACGATCGCGCGCGGGAGAATACTCGCGTGCGATGCGGCTGATTCGCGCTTAATTCGCCTCGAGGTTACGCCTTACGTCTTTCCCGCCAGCGATTCGCCCGTAGGTGTCAGGTGCCAAGGTGCACCTCCAGCCGAGCGAGACAACGTCCAGCCGCGCGGACAAAGCGTCACCGCGGATGTACTCCCGTCGTATCGCGCGCGCGCGCGCTTTATCAAACGCCAACTTGGCACACCGACAATGCCGCCCGCCGGCATGCGTCCGCATAACGTCGCGAAGCGCTGCACTTATTGCACCCGGATTGCGCCGTTGACTCCGACGCGCGATCGAACGACGAGGCGATTACTCTGGCGTCTTCGCGCCAGAGGCGAAAACACCGCGGCGAGGAAAATCACGGCCGGCGAAAGTGGCCGCACGACCGGTTCGCGCGCTCGTCGAGCGGTATCTACTGGAATTCGAATGCGAGCGAGCGTGCGAATCGGCCGGCGACAGCGGCAGTTGCGACGCGAATTCAACAACGGTCGCACGGTTACTGAAGCGTGCGCGAGCGGATGCGTTTTAACTTTCAGTAATTCGCGCTCAGTAAGTGGCGATTCCATAATACGTACAACAGCGCGCCGTATTTGCCACGTCATTACGAGCGAACGGCTCGTGTGTGATGTATCGTTATTATGTTTCGAAATATTATTACGCGCCGCTCGCTGTAATATCTTTCGTGCAACTTGACGCGATAAACCGGTCAATTGTTCGCGCTCGCGCGCGTGCTGTGGACACGGAAATATATTAATTCGCGTGCAAACCTGCGCCGCCGCTGAGCAATGTAGTCTACATTGAACTCTGTAAATACACGTTGTTTCACTCGCGCACAAGTCGGCCGCTCGCCTCCGAGCTCGCGTCGCCCGTATTTTTCCCAGCGGCAACTCGTCGCGCGGCCGCGCGGAATGTCGTCGAGTCAGCGGTCGCGCGCAGGTCACAGCTGACGAAATCACTTTCGAAAAGCGGTCGCTTCGTGTATTCACGTGGCCGCGATAATTAGAGAGACGACTACGTGGCCGTGTCTCGATTACACAAACATACGCGCAGACGCCAACAACGACCCGGCGCGGCAGCGCGCGAGGTCTTACTCGCGTGACGCCCGGTGTGAATGTCCCGGCCGTTATCTGCCGGAGAGAGAGAGAGAGAGAGAGAGAGAGTGAGAGAGAGAGAGAGAGAGAGAGAGAGAGAGAGAGAGGAAGAAAGCCGGTCTGTCTCTCGCCGCTGTAATACGGTGGCACGATAGTATTCTTAACAGATATTCGTCGGCGAGACGCCGCTTAATGTTTATGGGCTGAGGATAATGGGGTCCCCCCGGTGAGTCCGTGTCCAAGAGGATGAGAAACGTTCCAGGGTAGCCTCGGACTCCCCGCCGATCATACCCATGGTCTCTCCCTGTGTGTATGTGTGTGCGTGTGTGTCTACGGGATCGTAACGCCCACCAAATTATACTCGGCACGCACGCGTCATCTTTTCCCGTCCGGCAATTCGTGATAAACCAAGTGGAGATTATACACGCGGCAATTCGACGCGGCAAACATCTTTACGTTATATTACATAATGCGACATGTCGGAGCCGCACGAGCGAGCACTCTTTTTCGCGGGTTCCTCCGCCTCGCGGCGCACTTCGCGACGGACCGACCGGAGAGCATTACGCGCAACTTTGCCGGATATTCGCGCGTGCGTGACATTTGTGAAACGATTAATATATCATGCACGCGTGCGATATATTTTCGGGTCACCCTCTAGCAAGTAAACCTCGGAGAACGTCGATTTGTTTCCAATTTTATTATAGTTATTTTTTATGTCCAAGTATGAAGAATCTGTTATCATTTTTAGTTTAAATTAATTTTTTCAATTTTTTCGAAATTCTTCAAGTTTTGCACAAGTACATTATTTTATACATATTTAAAGCAATATTTCTTAAAAATATATATATCTGATTTGTTGAAACTTGCACACACATGTCGCCGATTATGAATCAGAATCATTTTGTAAAATTCAAAATGGCGGTTCTAATATGGCTGACGTCATTGCTGAAAAAGTGTTCAGTTTTACGCTACATTCGACGTTGGGTAATCTTTCGGCTCACTATCCAGCAATTTAACGTCAAAATCTGGTAAAAAATGAACAAGAAATGAACAAAAAAGAATGAACAAAAAATTTGAGAAATTTCGAAAAAATTGAAACAATCAATTTAAGTTAAAAATGATAACAGGTTTCCTTATATCTTGACATTAAAAATAACTATAAAAAATTGGAAACAAATCGGCGTCTGATGTTCCCCGGGGTTTACTTGTGAGCGCGCAGATAAAGCTGCTGCCGCGACGCGGGCGGCGCGCCGCACTTATCGCGTCTCGAGAGATGTTTGTGGGGAACCTAATCTGTCACGTGAAAATTATCAGGCGAACCGGACGTTATCGTGGAGGGCAAATAATCGTGCGAGACGGCGGAAAAAGGAGAAGCGACAGGCCAAGCGGAAGAGACGGAGAATGAGAGACGCTTTTCATCAAAATATCCGACTGCGGGATTTCGACTCACTGTGCAAGCGCGCAGTCTTTTGCGCACGTTAGGTTTGTCCTCGAGCGTGCAGTCAGTCGTGATGAGCGGCAAATTTTTTTTTATTATTCCGCGCAGATAACAGAGAGGGCATACTTCGCCACTTTTGTATCCCCCCCCTCTCTCTCTCTCTCTCTCTTTGGTCGGGGTCAAGGTTCCTCGCGCACGCGCTCGATTAGCAATACCGGACAACTGAACTTTGCACCTGCGCTAATTAACATTCAGACGATTGTTAAGCACCGCAGACGAAGCGCGAGCTTCCCGCGTGCGAGTCTCACAGCCGGAACAGTTGGCATTTAAGTAACGCTTAGCGTGTTTTTCGCGATAACGTCTATATGGGTCGCTCGTCTATGAGGTCACGATAACCGAGCTTTTACATAACATACTTATCATGGAGACACAAAGCACGTGCAGGCTTGCGGCGAATGCCTCCGTATCGCGTACACCTCTTATCTACTTTATGTCCGAATGTTGACTCCCGGCGTAATTCAGCACCGGCCTCTCTTTCTCTCTCTCTCTCTCTCTCTCTCTCTCTCTCTCTGCTATTCGGCGATATGAATTGCTGTTTGCTGACGTGCACAACCGCGCACCTCACATTCGCGAAACCCGTCGCGCGCGCTTACCGTTTCTTCCGCGCGATAAGAACCGCACGCGTGTCCGCTCGCGCCGCCCGACGGCCAGTGGCTCGACAATGTGTAACAACGCGGCCGCCGCAATATTTTTACTCGACCGCGCGGACTCTTTCGTGCGGCAAGCATCTGACAAGCATGACGAAACGCGTTCGTAGAAGCGAGAAGCAGGCAGACAGACGGACGGACGGAAGTGGCTGCAGCCTCGCGACGAGGACGAGGACGCGACGACGACGACAACGACGACGAGGACGCGACGACGACGACAACGACGACGAGGACGCGACGACGACGACGACGACGACGACAACGACGACGAGGTGGAGGCTTTGGAGACGCACGAGTTGCCATCATCCTCGCGTCTCTTCTGGGCTTATTCGGCCCAGCGCACACCTGCATTCACATGCCGGGGTGAATGCTCGCGCATACCTGCTAGAGGAATATGGCAGGTTGAGAAGGGAGCAGGGAATCCACTCGAGAAAACGCAAAGCCTCGACACCGGTAAAAATGGATACGTCGTCGTGCCCGACGAACGGGAAAGAAGAGGAGAGAAAGAGAGAGAGAGAGAGAGAGAGAGAGAGAGAGAGAGAAATAGTGAGAGAGAAGTGGAAAGAGAAAGGATGAAGAGTGTGTGAGGATGAAATGAGGAAAAAGTAAAAATAGAGAGAGACAGACAGACGGGGGAGGGAGGTGAGGGGGGGAAGCAGAAGGACAAGAACCGCGCTCTCGAGGACGAGAAGGCGCGTCCGCCTGTGTGTCCGACATTTCGCGCTGCGGTTCAAGGACGCGGAGGGCCCTCGGCCTCGAGGCAGGACAATAGTGTGTCGATCGCGCTGGCCGATTAGACTAGGTGTGACGCTCGAAAATCTCGAAATAGGATCGGAACCGCGAAGGATTCACAGGACAGACACTCGAGCCGGCTCGTATTGTCCTGACGTAGCGGGCGCGTTGTCTTTGTCCGCAGAGTAAACACGCGGAGCTGCTTCTCGGACCGCAGCCTTGCTGCTGCTGCTGAAGCCGCTCCAGACGGACCCGTCAAAGACTGCTGGTACTCTCTCTCTTTCCCTCCCCCTCCTCCTCTCCCTCTGTTCCCAGCGGCCGAATACCAATTAGCTGTTGCTGCCGGCTCGAGGCAGGTTGACCGTGCTAACGAGCGCGATGCTCGCGAGCGAGTCCTCTCGGCGTTCTCCCGGTTTTCGTCGGTCACTCCAAGACCACCCAGAAAAGATCGGCCGAAGAGCCGGAGTGAAACGCGAGACACCCCGTATCGCCTATCTATCTGGGTCGCCAAGCGTGCTGGCTTTATTATCGCACCGTGTCGAATTATTTCATTAACCATTTCATGACGTCACGCCGGTGACTGGCACCGCCGGCTTGCGGTTACGCAAGTCGATGGACCGTCGCGCGGCGAATGTTAAGGTACGTATAACACGAAATGGCAATCGCAAGACCGCGGCCGCGTTGTTTAACCCTTACAGTGCCGAGCAACGATATATCGTTGTTAGCAACACTTGCGAAAAGTGCCAACGACGATATATCGTTGCGCATGCAATGGCGCCTTACTATTCGCATCGCGAGAGAACTCTGTCTCAAAATAAATTTATGAAACATTATAAATGGTTGAATTCCTCTTCGGGAATCCTACGTGAGATGTTCCACGAATTGAAAAAATTGCTTGCAGGTTGAATTTTCCGTTATATTCCGCGATGCTTGCTCCTGATGCTTGCCGCGCATCATGGGATTATCATTTAGTTTTGTGTTTGTTTTGATATTAGTAATTTTGTTGCAAATAATTGAAAATGCGGTATTTATGCTTTATATCACGTGTTCTACATCAAACTATGACCAAACGACGATTCTTCTTATTTGCAAATACTGTTTATAAAAAATAACTGATTTTTCCATTTTTCCTAATGATTTTGAATAAACATTATCAGTACGATTTTCAACAAATATTGAAGCACATTAATTTGTTCTCCCTTTATTTCGTAATATGTTCCTTTTGAATTTGCTAAATATTCTTACTTTTATGTTTCTACTTTTTTTCTTAAGGGGACTGGAGGGTCAGATTACTGAAAAATCGTGCTTATTTTTGATAACGATTTGGTGACGAACTGAATAAATATGCAAAAATGAAAATTTCACATATTATATAATATATATACATATACATTATATAATATATATATATATATATATATATATATATATACATTATTTATATAACATATGAAGAGTAGAAAAATTTTGTTTTTAAACAAATACTCATATAAATATACGTCCATTTAAATTTTAAACGCGTTTTTCTCGAAACTTTATTATTCATTGTCCTTTCGCAGTGATTTCTCCAAAACTGAGCTTCGTATCGATTTGAAATTTTAAAGCAATATTTGTTCATGTGGCTCTCAGGTGAACCATGGACAACTCCGTCAAAATATTTCATTTCGAGATATTAATTTTTTTATCGTAAAATAACTGAAAAATTTGAACTTTTTCCTAATAATAGCTGCTATTTTGTTAATTTTGTTCGATTTTTTGTTCTA